TTCTTTTTTGTTTATTCGTAGTAGTTTTATTTTTTTTTAAAAAAGTACTTTAAACTGTATAAATAATGTAAAATTAATTTAACTGCCAATCATACGAATGTCTGCCTATGAATCAGGTTGTCACATTCAATAATTTATGAAGAATCAAATTCTTTTTAATAGATCACGGCGTGTGACAATCGAATTTTTAACATCTATAGTCCCATCACTAACGGTATTCGATGTGAAAATTCTCACGCTCCTTTTTTTTTTTATGGGTAATATAACTATTTTTATTAAATTTAGGGTTAGGGTGCAGTTTTAGAGATTTTTTGTTTTTTTTTATAATATAATATATATACTTAGAGTACCCGATCCAGGTTACTTAGTACGTACTTTTTGAGATATAGCACCCCCTATGATGTAACCAGGGGGCAAGTTTTAGCAATAGTCTATATGCTGTATATAAACTATACAAAGTTTGTTTTTATTTTTTTTTTTAGCCGTGCCTCAGCTAAATTTTTTTTTTTAATCACGGAAATGACTCCTCCTAGAAAAAAATACATTTTTCACGTTGCTAGAACATCAGACAGTAAATTTAAATGTCCTAGATGCCATTATTGTTTTTCAAAATATGATAAACTTAAAAAACACGTACAAAAAATTCACATTACATCGATACGAGGATTAAGCCTTCAAAGACAAGCTCCATGTGAGAAAAATCGCGATAGCATATCATTTGAAGCAAAAATGTGTAATGAACTTGATGACCTTGCAAGAAAGTTAAAGAGCGCTGAAGAAAGATACCTGCCATTACTTGAACGTGGATTACCCATTAGCAATGACTTTTGTCGTTGTTTTAATAGCATCATAGAGTTGAAGCAGTCATTTAAAGGTTTTATCCAAAGACAAAACAATCAAACTGAGCACATTTTATATGGAAAAGTTGTTAATGAAAAAGATCGAGTAACTACAATTATTAAGAAGTAAGTTTTATTTAAATTATTTTTTCTTTAGATGAATCTCATTTTATTAATAATTTTTATTGTTAGTTTGCGTGAAGAGGTTAAAAAACTTAATATTGAGATCATCAATAATAATAAAACGATCGCATTATTAAATAAAAAATGTGAAGAATATGACAAATTAAAAAAGGATCATGAAGCATTGCTCAACAACAATGATAATTATTATGTTGATCGTTGTCGTTCATTACAACGTGAAAATTATATACTAAAGAAACGAGTAAGTTTTTAATATCAGATATTTCAAATTTCATATAATATAGACTATTACTATGTATAATTATTTACCATATACTGTTTATAGAATTTAGAATTGAACGAAGAAATTGAAGATCACACGAGATTGCAACAAAATAATGTGGAACGCAATCGTAAGTTAGAGCTTGAAAACGGTTCATTAATACAACAGGTAAATTTTTTTTTATATCAGATAAATGAATATATATTATATACTATATACTAAAATTTTATACATAAATATAGATTTCGATATTGAATCAAGAGGTAAATTTTTTATATTTGATATCGTACTATATCAAATATATCATATGATATATTTTTTTTATTATTAGAATTTTAATTTACATGAAGAAATTAATCGTTTAAAGAAAAGAAATGGATCACTTTTAGCAAGTCTTTCTGGAATTGTCATTAATTTAGATGATGACGATGAATAGTTGTTTTTTTTTTCTTTGTGAAATTGATTGATTATCAATAAAAATATTATAATCTTTATTATTTTCACGAAATACTTTTTCCGTTTTCAGCTGTTATGCAATTTTATCATTAGTTGCTTAATACAGTAATGGGTTGGGCAACCAAATATCGATCAGTTGGGTGCAGATCTTTACGAATTTAAAATGCCCACCTGTTTTTATTATTATTCGCTTTTTTTCCTGGAGAGCTTTAGGGAAGTATATTTATTTATTATTATGTATTACGTATTATATTTATTCTGTGATAACGGAGCTTTTGAGAGAACGTACATTGTTTATTTCACTTATTTACTTTATTTATTTAGATATTTGTTTACACCAGAAACAACTGAATATTTTTATACAAACGACTTACATGTGGTGATTGACGTTTTCAGTTGGGAACTTTATAATTTACCAGGCAATTCTTGAATGTGTGCCAAGTTTGTGGCGCAGATTTCCTTAACTAAAAATCAGATTTCAAGATCAGGCGTAATCTAACACGACGTTCAAGAAAATTCAAACCAAAAACGTTCGTTTTGTCAAAAATCGTTATTTCTCGAAATTTTGAATAAGAAAACACCTTTAGTGTTCTAACAAAAAGTTTTCGTTAGGCAATTTTACTATATTAATTCTTTTTTCTAACTTCTAATTCCAACCTTAACTACAACATAAACGAACTTTAAAGAATTTTTGCCGCGCCGCGAACCTGGCACACATTCAAGAATTGCATTTACCAGAGGAAAGCGAAGCGGTAAGAATTTTGTATTTTTTTTTTTGACATATGAATATCCTATTTACGAAAAAAACCACCAAATACAGATAAATGATTTGCATTGAAAGTACCATAATTATCAAGAACAAATAGATAATAAGGCGACCATAGGTATATAACTTTTTTTTTAGCTTCGATATACGTATCTTCGAGTACTATATCCACTTATTTTTGCATTATGCTAATCTTAGGACCGAAGGTCGAGCTTTCGTAGTGATCACAGTGAAGAGAGTATATTTTGGTTTTTTTTTGGAGTAATTGTAATGAAGAAAAGCTCAGATACATCTTTAAAGATTGCACCTAACTAACTACAATTCTGCAAATGGCTCTCAAACGTATTCAGAAGGTAGAGTGTTTGATCCTAACGATGCAAGCTATATTTTCTTGTGCTAAAATTTTTTTAATCTGTCGCTTTAGGAACTTGCAGAGCTTAACAGAGATCCCGGTTAGATTATAGATAGTCAAAGACGAAAATTATAAGCTTTAGTTAATATTGAATGAAATCTAGTTTTGTTGTTACCATTTTAAAGCCTCTATGATGATTAATATTAGTGTAGCAACGAAGCTTTTGAGGGAAGTATATTTCGTTTATTTCATTTATTTTTATTTATTCAGATATTCATTTTTCTGCATTATGTGATCTTAGGATCAATAGTCGAGCTTTCGGAGTAATCATAGCTTTTGGAGTGATTTGCAGTGAAGAAAGCTCGGCTTGATCACGGACGGGTTCTCCAGGGTTAGGTGAAGAAAATCCGGTTTTGTTAATGTAATTAAAATTTTACTTAGAGCCTCTAAGGGAAGTATATTTCGTTTATTTCATTTATTTTTATTTATTCAGATATTCATTTTTCTACATTATGTTATCAAAGGATCAATAGTCGAGCTTTCGGAGTGACTGCAGTAAAGAAAGCTCGGCTTGATCACAGATCGGTTCTCCAGTGTTAGGTGAAGAAAATCTGGTTTTGTTAATGTGGGAAGTATATTTCGTTTATTTCATTTATTTTTATTTATTCAGATATTCATTTTTCTACATTATGTTATCAAAGGAT